TTCCGAACGAAGGTTTTCCATCCTAATATCAACAGTAATGGTAGTATCTGCCTAGACATTCTCAAAGAGCAATGGAGCCCTGCCCTCACAATATCCAAGGTAATCTATCTGATAATTTCTTTTTATTTATTAATTTTGTTGCCAGTGATATAATAAAAAATGTTAAAATTTTGTAGGTCCTTTTGTCCATATGCTCTCTGCTGACAGATCCCAACCCAGATGATCCTCTGGTGCCCGAGATTGCTCATATGTACAAAACTGATAGATCCAAGTATGAGGCCACTGCCCGGTCATGGACTCAAAAATATGCCATGGGCTAAGTCATTGGTTCATCTGCTACTTCATATTTTCTTTGTTTTCTTCGGTAGTTATTTACCTCACTTTCTACACTAGTAAATAAATAGTGTTGAATTGATTTTAATCAAGTATGATATGTATGTACTCTGTTCTATGCGAGTCCTTTGAACTTTAAAATTGAAAAATTAAGTTCCAGATGCAGCACAGTTTTCATTTAAATTTAATATTTTAAAAAACAAATCAATATCCTTGTGAATCATGTTAGTTTTCTTCAATTGTTGGAGAAAATGTAATATGATAATCCAACCCATGTCTCTCTTTTTCTTTCATCATGTGATTTGAATTAATGTAGAAATGTATGGATTATTATCAAGAAGTACATAGGACTGATTTTACGTTAGACGAAAGGGGGAAATAATAGGACCAAATGAGGTATGTATTATTTGGTTTAGACAGAAATTCATAATTAATTTTCTTAGAAATAATCGATATAGAAGAAAAAGAATGCGAGCTACACAATGAAAAAGGTAATGCAATCAACATTATAAGAAATGACAATATTCATACTTGTTATAATTAAATTTAAAATGAAGTCCTTGTCCTTCTAACATCTGTTAGGTTCCTTGTATTTGTCTCTCCCATTTTACTATAGATTTTATGTATAGGATTGAATTTAAGTTCTTCCTTTACCTGTCTTTATAATGACAATTTGTTATACTGGAGAATAATTTGCGTTTTGTGTATTTTTTTTCCTCGTAGGGAAAATGGAGGTTTTTTTTATGAACTTGTTTAAATTATATTTTTAATTTATAAATGCGTTTTATGACATTATTCATTTCATACACGAATAACTAAGATTGATATAATTGCATTAGTCATTTTGAAGCAATTTTGAAAAGTACCTTTCAGAATCGTGGAATAAAATGCTATTTCAAAATTTTCATGTGCTTTTTAATTCAACCTAACAACAGATACCTGCATTTATTGTTTGGATAGATACAGAATACAACATTAAAACAAGGCTTCCTAAATGATAAATGTTTCGACAAAAAAGACAAGAAATAAAATTGTTGGTAACAAATTATTTTTGTTATCAATACATGACCATGAAAATAAAGCAATAAATAATATGTTAATTATTATTTTTAACATTATAACAATCAGGTCAATTTATTACTATGCCACCTATAAATAAAATATTTATTATAATATAATTGTTATCTGTTATTTAATAAGATAGAGTTGCGAGGTAGTGCAAGTAGAAGAGGTACAAAATAGGATAGAGAGGGAAGAAGGAGAATAGGGAGAAAAGTATTTGAAGTAGAGAAAGAAAAGGGTATATATGCAAGTTGAGGAGTGTATATAGCAAAAACCAGTAAATTTTTGGAGGGTAAGGAGACAAGTTTTTCTGAAAGGGTCCAAAAAGATGGGCCCTGAGTGATTTGAATTTATTTACACGGGCATGTCTCCAAAACCCCCTAACCGACGTTGACATGGTTGAGACACAAACTTCAGAACAACCTACCAAAACAAAATACAAAATCAATTCATAGATCAAAACAAAACAAATACCAATCTGTTCACATGACTATCTAAGATTTTTTTTTCTATACCTCATTTTAAAAAGAAATTAAATTATAGAATATTTTAGTTTTCAAAAATTACCCATTAGTTTATGATAGTTTTTAATTCTTAAAGTCATTTTCTAAATTTTTACTATATATAGCTTGCATCGTTTACTTCTGTCAGTAACTTTTAAAATATATATCTATTTCAACGTACTTTTTACACT